AAGTACACTTCGAATTGGGACAGCCGTCGTCGCGTGGCGGTGACGTAACCGCACTTAAAATGCGTACTTCAAGCGTGCATACCCCGAATTGGGACACAGCACTAGACTTCAAATCTGTAGAAGACTGCCTGTGGTTCCTAGGTGCTGACAGGTTGAGAAAACGGTCTTCATGTGGTGTCATCTTCTTCGGATACCCATTTGGTACACTGTCTCTGACATCCCCTGTTATATGGAAGTCAGTTTGGAAATGGTAGTAAGATTCACTCCAAATAATGCTGCAACTTGGTTTGGTGAAACATTAGCTTGAAGTTGCCCTTTGGCACAGGCCCTATCAAGATCAGTCAAATGTGGTATGCTTGGAGGAGACGGCAACTGACCGCTGTAGCAGGGTCCATGCTCACAAGTACTGACAATCAGGCACTTGATTGTCAGCACCTGCAATGCCAGAAGCTCAAAACAAGAGTCAGTAGCAAAATACGCTACATACTCAACTCTGCCTCTCAACTCACAAATGCATTTTTCTTATAAATTCCGCACCATTTAAGGGGAAATAAACAGGCCTTCCACAGATGTAAGACTTATTGCTAAGGAGCATTGTTACAACAAATAAATCATTGACCAAACTTTATATTTTACCTTTCTACTAAGTTTAGCAATATTTCATGATGTAAAAATGTAAAATGACAGAGTATTCAAGGTGAGTACCAGTTCAAGGATCTGGTATATGAGTGAAGGTTCCACAGGAAAAAACTCACAACATCAAACACTTCTCATTAGTTTTGTAATATGTTTCTTCACAGGACGCTTGTTTATGTTGGAAACTGTAATTTTCTGAGGCGACTTTTTTTTTCAAATCAGCTGTTTTCCCAGAGTGGGGGCAGTTAATGCTTGATTGTTGGTACTAATATAAAGCCCTGATATATGGTGTAAAAACACAGTAGACTAAGGAGGGAAATCCCTCTGTGAAACATACTGTAATAATCTGCAGCTGTATCTAGCGTGTATCTAGTGGCACATCTGGCAACTTTATTAGGTCCACTGGTTGTTTTGCAAATATTTAATTAGCCACTGGCAGCAATTTAGTGCCTTAAGGGTGTAAACATAGTCAGGAGGACCTGCTGAAGTTTAATCTGTATATGAGAATGGGAAAGAAAGATGATCTAAGCAACTTTAAATGGGGAACACTAGCTGGTGCCAGAGGAGCTGGTCTATTCGGAGTATTTTATAAACTGTTGATCTACTGGGATTTTCCCACACAACCATCTCTAACGTTTACAGAGAAAGGACAGAAAAACAGAGAAAATATCCAGTGAGTGGCAGTTCTCTGGGAGAAAATATCATGTTGGTGCCAGAGGTCAGAGGAGAATGCCCAGACTGCTTCAAACTGCTGGGAAGACAACAGTAGCACAAATAACTGCTTTTTACAACCAAGGTATGCAGAACAGCATCTCTGAATGCACCAGACGGTGTACCTTCAGGTAAATGGGCTACAGGAGCAGAAAACCACTTCAGGTTTAGGTACCATCACTGGCAACTATCACGACTGACATATGGTCCAGCTGTGCCACACATCTTCCGATTTTGGCATGGCCATACTGTACAGTGCAGCCCAGAATGATAGTGATTGGTCAGCCTAAATTTGTGGTCACAGAGAGACACCCTACTTATTAAAAAAAATGTAAACATGTCAAGACAGATAGGTAGATAGATAAAGTATCTTCATTTCATAGTTTTAGTTGTTTTTCAAATAAAAATTGTTCCTTGGATAGTGTATATTAATCATAATAATTTAGCAGACACACTGTATTAAAAATTCCTTCATCACACCTGGCTAATATGTCATTATTGGGTTGGTGCATGTTTTGGTTGAAAAAAACATAATAACAACAACAACAATAATAATAATAATAATAATATTTCTAGTTTTGGCTCATCAGATCTGGAAGCATTTAAGAATTAGCCCGAGACAGAGAAAATACATATTTTATATCTGGTTTTGTTTTTTGTTTTCCTTCCATTAATATGAATAAAGCTCATTACTCTATGTGGTGCTCGCACATTATTCATATGCTGGCATACCTGTGGCCACATAAGTGATTACTTTATCACTGCAAGCCTTTACACACACAAAAAAAAAACTTAAATGAAAATAAAGAACATTATTATTGTGACAGAAGTAGATTTAACATTATTGAGACCGGCACATTTGCCCACACAGGATTCCACCCATCACTATATAAGGATAGGTAGCCTATAAATAAATTTTAAAAAAAAAGAAAAGAAAAGAAAAGGGGGAGGCTGTTTTTTAGCCACCCTCAGATGTTCTCCTGCATGCTTGATGATCAAACATAACCTCCACCCCAGAGTGATATTTGTCATTTTAAGGGAGGAAAATGGAAAAACCCGTTTGGGCATTGGCAGGCAAATTTGTTGTTGTGAGGGTGCAGGTATAGCCTCCGGCAGCACATCCTCTTTTGAGGAAAACAAATGGCCTCCTTCAGGTTGTTGCTGGAACCAGCAGACGCTGCTGGTAAACTGACAGACACAAACACTGCGCTGTTTCTTTAAAAAGGGAGAGGGTCTATCGCTGTCTATGCGCCTTTGCAGTCAATGGCGGCCCACTCTTATAGCAATGGTCTGTGTACAGAAAGCCCCTCATCCCCGGCGGATCAATCGGTGTGCACTATCAAAATATACTGACATACAAGCCGCATCCGCCGGGATTAAAGAGAAAATAAAACGGGTTCTTTCAAAGACAGCAAAGATCTGCTGAGTGGTTAGAGCTGCATTAAAAGCATACGTCGAGGCCTTTATTTGAAAGCCTCTAAAGCATCTAACAGCTCCCAAAGAATGACCAGTCTTCCTTTTGCTGTAGTGTTACGTTATTGAGAGCAGATTATTATTGGGTGGTACAGACATCGACCGGTATTTCCCCCCTCCCTTTTTCTCCTCTTTTTACACGCTGACATACGCGCAACCATAGTACTTCCATCGCAGACAATAACACGGGCTGCCGTGACCTACAAAAGAAATTTCCTCATGGATCGGTGGGCAGAAAGAGAGGCCAGACAACAAACCGCGTCGGTTTCCTTGTGCTGGGCAACGCGGAGACACGCCGACGCGGGCGGGCGGTTGGGGATGCGGAGGAGAGCGGGGAGTGAGTGTCGGCTATTTCCCTACCTTCTCCGTGGACCCCGGGCTGAGCCGCTCCAGGAGTCTACACAAGACCACCCCATCCTTCAGGGAGGTCTGCAGAAATGCCTCGGGATCTGAGATGGTCTTCTTTGGCGATTCCAGCACCCCGAGCGTAATCAACCATGTAACCGTCTGTTCCGCCGAATTCATGTCCAGTCACAGCAGATCCGATTCAACAAAGCGGCTGTGTTTTGGTATCTCAGCAGTTCAGCGCCCTGGTTACGCTGTCATCTGTGCGTTAGAACAGGAACAGCATTAATCCAACCATATGATGCGTGATATGAGAGAGAGTGTGTGTAGGGTGTGCTGTGGGAAGAAAGGGGGGGAAAAAACTGTACCTCGGGTGGATGCGGATGACGGCTGGCTTGTGGAAATTCAGCAAGTCTGTTTCCCCCCCTCTAACCTGGAAAGCTGTCAAGTGCGGTTCGCTGTGATGCGTCGAGGCAGTGGACTGCATACATGCGCATCGCAGCCGCCAGCCGCTCGTCTATTGGATGACATCACAGGAGAGGGACAAGCCTGTCCAACCAGTTGTTGAGGCACTTTTATCGTGTCATGAATAGGCTTTTACTGTGTGGCTTTGCATATCCTGCCCTTTCATCCGTTTTTATTATAACCACGCCACAGGCTATCCGTTGTTATCTGCTGTAAGCTGTGTGTTTTTTGGAGGGTTTTTTTTTTTTTTTTGGACAGGCCTCAGTTGGAAAAAAAAGGGGAAGCAGCTGAGCAGACAAATCGGCTTACTGATGTCCTTTAAAAGACAAGCTCTGAAGAAAGGTAACATAAAATATATTTTGACCGAAGCACCTTCATAACACCGATCTATGTATCCATAAAGACATGCTGCCAAGCTGCTGCATGGACTATTATGGTGTAGCCCTCAATTATGGGGTCAGGATAATATATATTGGAGGTAACATAAAAAAAAAAAAAACAATAACCAAATAAATAAATAAATAAAAAGTCGTTCTACATAATTTTTTTTACATAACTTTTATATTCATTGTAAAATGCTAGCTCCACCTTTTAAGGCACCATGATAAAACAAAAACAAAACACAGATGACTTTAAAATAACAATTTCAGATTAATCTTTATTGCAATCTTTAAGTGAAACGTGTCTTATAAATACAGGATCATAAAGCTCATTATCCTTAATGTAGAGCACCAATACCAGATAAACACCAAAACACACTATTACACAGACGTATCAGGTCAAGATGTTGCACAACAGCCCAACCTTCACCCAGCCCTTTCCAAACACACGAACGCGCACACACGCGCGCATCAATCTTCTACTTTTAAATAGTGTTACCGGTAAAGAAAAAAAATAGCCCTGTTCTGTTTACAGTTTGGTTCAGTGTAAACAGCACACTGTGAATTTTACCCTGAGGGCATCAGCTCATACTCTTTGTATTTACAGAACGTGGTTTGGGTTACAGGTGTTATTAAGGCTCTGCCTCCTCACCAGCTCCTCACATAGTCTTAAAATATCTCCCAAAGAGAGGTTGGTGGGGACATTCCAGTTATTTTTCCTGCACTTTTGAAGCTTTGAGAAGAGTTTAATGGAAGAGCTACCGAAAAGAGTTTGTCATCTGCCTCAACAGGTGATAGATCCAGTAGATGCCCTCAGGCAGCTATTCATTCTAAGCCTTTAGAGAAACTCACACACTGAGTGATTTGTCAACAACTGTAATCCACCAGATGATCCCGTTTTTACTGAGAATCTAAATAAACGCTGACTTATGTGTCTCATTTTAAAGACTTGCCTAAACCGTCCACACATTCAAAACATATAATTAGACTCATTAGATGAAGGAAAACCACCTGATCTTAAAAAACATTGAAACTACAAAGAACGCAGACCGAAACATTATCATGCAACCATGTTAATATTAGGTTAGCCATTAAACTGGCCGTGAGGGGGGTTGAAGAAAATGAGCCAAAAATGGCATCAAACTGACCAGGAAGAACATAGAAATTTGATTAAATAATGTGTAAATAAGGTGCTATTGAACAAGAGAATATTATTTAGCTCTCTCACTTCTTTTGTCCTGCAAAGGCAACAGGGAAAACGTTTAGGGGAGCGCTCATATTTCCACTGCACCCTGCACTGTAGAAGAAGAGTGCATAAGTTTCCACTTTGGCCACGAGGCGGCGCCCTCTATTCACTGATCTGTTCTAATCTTCTCAGCGTCGCATGAATGCCTTCTGGCTTAAGTTACGAGACACCTCTTGGTGGTTTATATGCTGCATACTACACTAACACGGCGTGAACAAGGTAAGCAAGCAGCCAATTAATAATAACCCCAAAAATATGAATACAACAGCTGCTTCGCCTTCAGTGTATAAATTTGAGGCAGCATGGGTACAAGTGCTTCTTAATTAGACTTTTTTTAAATTATTTTTTTTTAAATAGATTTTTTTTTAAATTGCGCAACATCTGGAAAAAAAAGTTATTTACATCAAAACTTTATTAATAACTGTCAACATTTCTAAGTAAGCGTGGGCCAAAATATTGATATGGCAATATAGCCTATCGCTTCCATCTGCAATGCATTACTGATACATGAGTATCCATTATTTTTAATAATACATGTAGGCACTCTAAATGGACTCCCTCGCCAGTTTGACTGATCAGAGCGCAGACTTTATGACTCCTGGCGGTGGCATTTGTCAAGTTTATGAAGTGGAGGGATGTTAACAGTGAGGACCAAAAAAAACCCAGTTGAAACTGTGGGACACAGAGTAACTCTCTGACAAGTAAGTAAGGAGTTGTGTATTTATTCACTGATGCATTACAGTGAATAAATACATAATTTCTTCTTTTTTGCCTATTTGGGGTGTTTTGGGGTTCTTTTATAGCTGTACAGATATTGTGATGCATGACAGTGTTAAAATGTATCAACTATATTTTAATCACTGTATCATTATATCATCATTACCATAAGCAATGTGTCATGATCATTTTCTATATATTCTGTGATTCCTGCCACAATTTCTAACAGTCGGAGGGATTTTTCAAAGTCTTTACTCTGGTGAAGTTTTTATTGTTATAAAGCAGCAGTAGATCATTTATTAACTACAAAGGGGGGGGGGGGGGGGCTGGACTGTTAAATCAATTAGATATTGTATTTTACTTAGTTCAAATTGTGAAATATGAGCACTGTACAAAAATGCACAAACAGTGTAGCTCACCCCGCTTCTGTTCTCCTCACACCTTCTCCATCTCCCTTATTTTGCAGAAAGGAGTGTGTGTGGGTGAACGTGTGTACATGCATGCCTGCATGTGCGCGCACACATGTGTTGTCAGGAAGGGTGACTCTTGAGGCAAGCTGTGTTCTAAATAGGCAGCCGTTGAGGGATGCCGCTGTACCTTTGAGGTCCTATCACCATGGGCCTGTAACCAAGGGTGCCACTGTGTGGCTGTGGAGACTAGCTCCAGGCATTTCATATCCCTCCATTCCCAGTTCATCTGTACAGTTTCCACTCTGTTCCACAGGCAGATGCTGTACTTTCATTCTCTTTGCCTTTGTGTGCATGCAGAAGGAACCAGGAATAGTTTATGTAATATTAGAATAAACCAGCCAGATACTCAGAGAGGTACTCCCACAGACTTCTCAGATGGACTTAAATAGCTCATTGCTAAAACCACTGGGTTCATTTGGACTCACTTTACACAGAATTTTGCTCACATTATTTGAAAAATGGAAATTATTACAAATAAACTTGGAAAGAACTGTTTGTTTATTTATTTGTTTGCTTATTTATTAGATATTTATTTATAGATAGGAACATTTACTCTCACTAATTACACTCAGCTGTTGAGTTATTATTAGCACCTTAGCAATTCACTCACTTTTTTGGCTACTGAGGAGATATTTCAATGGTTTATCCATACACTTTTCTAGCAGCTTGAAATGCAGTTTTCATTTTGATGATGACTTATTCATTTTATGTATTTATGCATTGCTTTGGATTTGTGCCTCACAGCCTATCCATCACTTTAAAGGAACTCCAGTGTTCAAACCTTCTCAGGTCAGCTAAACTATTCTTTCTATGTACATGTTTCAAGGCTACTGGAAAAGTAGCCTGGAAGCATATTAGTTATCGTATTTGCTACATTTAACTTTTTTTGTAACTTATTAAATATGCATTTTACAAAGTTTGTTTGGGGTTTTTTTTTTGGGGGGGGGGGGGCATACTGATGATGTAGAAATCTCAAAAACTTCTTAAAAACTCATTCATTAAACATGATACTCTTGGCTTTAAAGAGTTAAGAGTTCTTACCTTTTAGTAAGGAAGTACAGAGTTCATTATAAGTATATCAGTGCACAAGAAATGAATGGAGCATACCATGTAAATAAAAATGAGTATGCTCACACAAACACATGCCACCTGTACTACTATACTATCTGAAATCAAAGAAACCATACAGAGAGCAAGTCCCATTGAACGAGCTAGAGCCAAAGGCTCACAATCAGTCTGTAAAGTCAAGTCCATCTCATGTCAAATGTAAACAAAAGAACAGCACACATGAGCTCACAAACAAGCGCAGTCTTCTCATGTGCACAAAGTTTTTGATGTCTTCAGCATTTGGCAGATCAAATGAGTTTCTTCATGTGGGCTCATAAACAAGCAAAACTGAAGCCTGTGACAGAGTCGCAGAGTTATCTGTGACTGCTCCCGTGTTTGGTCTTTGACAGCTGCCATAAACAAAACCAGGAACACTGTGTTCTCTGAAGTGAGTGCAGCCCAAACCAAACTCCACATTTAATCAGTTAAAATGCTCCCCCTGTCCCTCTTTATAAAGAATATGCTGCTGTTACAGGGAAATAGCTGGTTTGAATGATCATGGTGTCACCTGTGCTTCTTTAAATCAATGAAGTCAGAACTCTAACGTATCAGCCTTTTTGTGTCCATGTCTCATTCTTCTTCCGGCATCCCCCGAAAGCCATCTGAGCTAGAGAGACAGCTCATATTTTATTGTGACAAGGCAAAGTCCATCCAAGAGCCAGAGTTACTTCACAGGCCAGAATGCATTAAGCAGAATAATGGATGGGCTAGACAAACACACAGTGCCAAAATGTCAGAAAGAGAGATGATCAGACATACAGTACATTTTCTGTGGAGGGGTTGAAGCCTACAGCAGGACATGACAAATTCAATTTTCCTCACAACATGCTTTCAGCCAAAGATTTTTTTTTCCATGTGAGGTAAAGCTTTGCATGTAGAACTGCCTGCTGCAAAACTAATAATCATGTTTACCTGATCTTATAGCAAGAGTAAAATCAAAACAAGACACAGGAGCGTAAATCAGATGTAACATGAATGTCCCTTTATGGCCATAAGAGGCGTGTGAAACAATGTACACAATGTGCTTGATTTGGCTCCCTTTTCGCCAAACTTTACTACCAACATGTAAAACTGATGCATGTTTACTTTGTCGAATATGCTTGCATAGACAACTATATGTGTGCTGA